TTTTTTAGTTGTACAGTCGTCTCTCGTCTCTTTTTTGTCTCCCAGGTATTCCAGTTGCCTGTTGAAAAGGCGCCGGGATCTGTGCGATTTCCCATGCAGTAACCCGCTGCGCCAGCTGAAACAGCCACGCTGAGATTCGTGTTGCTTTTTTGCCTGGGAATCTCCTGGCCTGGCTCCCTATTTCAGTCCCCTTTTCTATCCGTTGAATGGGTGACTCTGTCTTCCCCGAGATCCAATTGCCAGCTAAAACAGTGCCTGGACCCATGTATTTTGTACTGAGAACTGCCGCGCTGGAATGCTGGCCGTTTGGCCAAAACAGCCGCTCCGGCCGAAACAGCTGTGCCAGCCAAAACAGCCCCACTGGCGACCCTTGGGGCTCCTCCCCCTGCGAATCTCCTGGTCTGTGGGCAATAAAAATCCGTCTGGAAATGCGGCGCCCACTCACTCTCTGCGCGTTCGCTGGGAGCTGCAATCCTGAGCTGCTCCTAATCGGCCATCTTGACTCCATCCTTATATTTTTATTTTTATATTTTTAGACGGAGTCTTGCTCTGTTGCCCAGTTTGGAGTGCAATGGTGTGATCTCGACTCACCGCAACCTCCGCCTCCTGGGTTCAACGATTCTTCTGCCTCAGACTCCTGAGTAGCTGGGATTACAGGTGCATACTGCCACCATGCCCAGCTAATTTTTATACTTTTATTAGAGACTGGGTTTTGCTGTGTTGTCCAGGCTGGTCTCAAACTCCTGACCTCAGGTGATCCACCTGCCTCGGCCTCCCGAAGTGCTTGGATTACAGGCATGAACCACGGCACCTGGCCCTCCAAGAATAGATTTGATTTATACTGAAGACTTGCCAGGTAGAGCTCCAGAGTAACTGGATGCTATCATCTCTCTGCTTATAGTTGGCCCGAACTTAACAGAAAGGGAATTACATTCTTTAACCCTGAAACTACTGTCAGTACCTGTTCAGGTAATTTAAGTGTCAGAGATGAATTGCTCATCTGCCTGAGTTCTGTGTGCAGACTATAAATGTTCTCTCCTCTCCTATAGGTATGGTCTCTCTGGCAGTGATGTCCTCGATAATGTAGCATATGCTCGAGCGTTCAACACAGACCACCAGACTCAGCTCCTTTATCAAGCATCAGCCATGATGGTAGAATCTAGGTATGTGGTCAGTATAAGACACCAAATACGTTCTTAGAGTTCTTACCTGGATCCTGTAATGGCTATTTGGCCAGATTGATAGTAGCTTTAATTAGAAATGAGGAGGTTTAAGTTTAATTCCTGTTTTTACACTCTTGCTTTGTAGTTTAGGGCAAGTCATTATTAAAAATGAAACCATAATCTATCTGAATTTTGTGGAAATCTTGTTAAATGGTACCTCAGTTGTTAGTGCTGTGCAAGTATTTTAATAAAACATTTATATGCAAGAAAAACTATGAATATGAGATTTTAGGGTGGTAAGGAAGGGGAGAGAATCTGCCTGACACAGGCTAGATAGAGGCTTCAGAGAATCCTTGCTTCCTGTAGGTATGCACTGCTTATTGTAGACAGTGCCACCGCCCTTTACAGAACAGACTACTCGGGTCGAGGTGAGCTTTCAGCCAGGCAGATGCACTTGGCCAGGTTTCTGCGGATGCTTCTGCGACTTGCTGATGAGGTAAGTTTTGGGATAGGGACAGAAAATGCCTACTTTTGGTGGCTGTGAATTCCAGGAGCCTTGCTAGGAAGCCAAGACATCAGTGCCTGAGATGATCAAGCTCTATTAGAAAAGGAGGAAGAGGACCAGCTGGGCATGGTGGCTCACGCCTGTAATCCAAGCACTTTGGAGGCCAAGGCAGGCGGATCACCTGAGGTTGGGAGTTCAAGACTAGCCTGACCAACATGGTGAAACCCTGTCTTTAAAAAAAAAAAAAAAAGAAAAGAAAAGGAGGAAGAGAGATATGAGTCATTCGTTGCCTTGTAGGGGAAAGTGGTAGCAGCATTAAGGCTCTTGGAATGTCTGTGACCACAAAATTGACATTTTTCCTTTCTCCATCAGTTTGGCGTAGCAGTGGTAATCACTAATCAGGTGGTAGCCCAGGTGGATGGAGCAGCCATGTTTGCGGCCGATCCCAAAAAACCTATTGGAGGAAATATCATTGCCCATGCATCAACAACCAGGTAAGATGAGGGAATGATTCTTTTCAGAATGTCATGTTAACTGTGAAGTAGACATTAAGATAAAACATTTTCTTTTAAGCCCTGTTAAAGCTACTGTTGTATAGACACTTGGGAACTCTTGCTAATCTAATGGACTTGCTTTGGTTGGTATAAATATTTGCTCATATAAGAATTAAAAACCCACAAATGTGGAAGAATGAATTTGAATAATTATGCCTCTCCCTGGTTACTAAAAAAATGGGCTGGGCACAGTGGCTCACAGTGGTAATCCTAACACTTTGGGAGGCCACGATGAGAGGTTAGCTTGAGGCCAGAAATTCCAGACAAGTGAGGGCAACATAGTGAGGCCAATATCTCTGCAAAATAAACTAGCCGGTATGGTGGTGTGTGCCTGTAGTCTTAGCTACCCAAGAGAGTGAGACGGGAGGATCAGTTGAACGGAGGAATTCAAGGCTGCATGGAGCTATGATCACATACCACTGCACTCCAGCCTGGGTCAAAGAACGGGACACTGTCCTGAAAAAATTTTTTTCTTTTTTTAATGTTTCAGTATGGACAATCCACTTAAGAGGGGCCAGGGCAAAAATGGATTCTGCCAGGTTGGAAATGCATTAAGGAAAATAGTACAGAAACATCCACAGTGTTCTTCTAGGACGAATATATGTCTAAAAAATTTTCAGCTCTTTTATAGGAATAGAATTCTTTAATTATAATAACTTGATGCTTTGGTCTGTGTCTTTGGGTCAGATTGTATCTGAGGAAAGGAAGAGGGGAAACCAGAATCTGCAAAATCTACGACTCTCCCTGTCTTCCTGAAGCTGAAGCTATGTTTGCCATCAATGCAGATGGAGTGGGAGATGCCAAAGACTGAATCATTGGGTTTTTTTTCTGTTAAAAACCTTAAATGCTGTAGCCTAATGGGAGTGCACTGCACTGCTCCCTGGTGTTCACAGGCCTTTTCCTGTTTTGACTACCAGGAAAAGGCTTCCGGGAAAACAGCTATTGTATCAGCTTTTCTGATGGTGTAAACAGGAGACAGCTAAGTAGTCACAAACTAATCTAAACTGTGTATTCCTCTGGAGTGTATTAATCTCTGTGTTTTCTTTGGTTTTGGAGGAGGGGTGCGAAGTATCTTTGACATGGTGCCTTGGGAATGACTTGGGTCTTTATAAGCTGTCTACGGGACAGTCTTATGTTTCTAAGATAACTAAAGCTGGAGAGACTCGACCCTTCTGTCACTTCTGAATTAATGGTATAATAAAATGCCTGAGCTATGTAGCACAGGGAATGGGTCTCTGCACAGATTCTTTTTTTCTGTCAGTAAAACTTTCCCCTCAGGCAGGTTTTTAAGTTGTATGTCTGAATGATCTTGCGTAAGGTTTTGGTTATGGAGTCTTGTGCCAAGCGTAATGGGCCGTTAGCCCTTCACCATCCACCTGCGTGGTCTTTTATTGCTAAGACTAACTCAAGATAATTCTGGAGTTTTAAGCATTTCAGGCCAGGTATGGTGTCTCACGCCTGTAGTCCTTGCTATTTGAGAGCCTGAGGTGGGAGGATCCCTTAAGCCTAGAAGGTAGAGTTTGCAGTGAGCTGAGATTGTATCACCGTACTCCAGCCTGGGGTGACAGAGTAAGACCATGTTACAAAAAAAAAAAGCAGCATTTCAGAAGGTAAGTAAACAGATTGTGAGGCTTCTAATAAAGTAATTAATAGTAGTGAATGTGCTGTTTATAGCAGATTGGGTCTCCATAATCTTTTTGGCACTGCGTAGGTAGGGGTGATTAGTTTCTATTACTTTAAGATTTGAAACCAGAAAGGGAAGTCCTGTTTGCGGATGATTTTTCTTGTTCTTTAACCTAATGGAAAATAAAACAAAGATATACCATGGCTTGCCTTGTGGCCTTTGTTTATGGTTTTGTTGAGGCAAAGTTTTGCCCTTGTTGCCCAGGTTGGAGTGCAATGGTGCGATCTCGGCTCATGCAACCTCCACCTCCCGGGTTCAAGTGATTGTCCTGTCTGTCTCCCGAGTAGCTGGGATTACAGGCGGCTGCCACTAGGCCCGGCTAATTTTTGGTATTTTTTTTTTTTTTAGAGAGGGTTTCATCATGTTGGCCAGGCTGGTCTTGAGCTCCTAACTTAGGTGATCCCCGTCTTGACCTCCCAAAGTGCTGGGACTACAGGCGTGAGCCACCGCACCTGGCTCTGGCTTTTGTTTCTATCTCATAAGTCTGTGGTTGTGCAGATCTGGTACTTGCCTAGATTATTTTACTTCAGGGTTTTGGGTTACTTCTTTTCCTCTCCTTCAGACTTCTACGTGGAATTTTAACTAGCTCTTCTAACTTCAAAGGGTCTCTCAGCTAGTATTGAGAGAAGAGGCAGTTGAAATCTCTGCTGCTGCCTGTTGGTACCACTGCCTGCAGGGACATAGAAAGACTCGACTCAAATTAATGTTGCATTGTTTCTGGGGTTTTTTTTGTTTTTTGTTTTTTGAGATGGAGCTTTGCTCTTGTCACCCAGGTTGGAGTGCAATGGCGTGATCTTGGCTTACTGCAGCCTCCACCTCCTGGATTCATGGAATTCTGCTGCCTCATCCCCCGGAGTAGCTGGGATTACAGGCGCCCACCACACGCCCTGCTAATTTTTGTATTTTTAGTAGAGACACGGTTTTACCATGTTGGCCAGACTGGTTTCGAACTCCTGATCTCAAGTGATCTGCCCGCCTCAGCTTCCCAACGTGCTGGAATTACAGGCGTGAGCCACCATGCCCAGCCCTACAATGCTTTGTTTTAAAAGCAGTTCTAGCCAGGCACGGTGGTCCATGCCTACAATCCCAGCATTTTGGAAAGCTGAGGTGGGTGGATTATGAGGTCAGGAGATCGAGACCATCCTGGCCAATATGGTGAAACCCTGTCTCTACTAAAATAGAAAAAATTAGCTGGGCATGGGGGTGCACGCCTGTAGTCCCAGCTACTCAGGAGGCTGAGGCAGGGGAGTTGCTTGAACTCAGGAAGCGGAGATTGCTGTGAGCTGAGATGACACCACTGGACTCCAGCCTGGCGACAGAGCAAGACTCCCATGTCAAAAACAAAATAAAACAAAGCAGTTCTAGTCTCTTTTTTTCTTTCTGTCCTGAGATGGAGTTTCCCTCTGTTGCCCAATGTGGAATGCAGTGGCAAAACTCACTGGAACCGCCACCTCCTGGTTTCAAGCAATTCTCCTGCTTTAGCTTCCTGAATAGCTGGGATTACAGGCGTGTACCATCACGCCCGACTACTTTTTGTATTTTTAGTAGAGACATTTCTTATTGTTCTGACCAGGCTGATCTTGAACTCCTGACATAAGGTAATTCGCCTACCTTGACCTCCCAAAGTTCTGGGATCACAGGTGTAAGCCACTATGCCCAGCCTCTCTCTTTAAAGAGTAAGAAGAATCAGGGACTGGGCCAGGTGTGGTGGCTCACATCTGTAATCCCAACACCTTGGGAAGCCAAAGTGGGTAGATCACTTGAGGCCAGCCTGTGCAACATGGTGAAACACTGTCTGCACAAAAAAATTAAAAATGAAAGTTATTTGGGCATGGTGGCACATGCCTGTAGTCCCCAGCTACTCCGGTGGCTAAGGTGGGAAGGTCATTTCAGCCTGGGAGGTATTGGTTGTAGTCAGCCCTGATCACACCAGTGCACTGCAGCATGGGTGACAAAGCAAGACCCTGTCTCAAAAAAAGTCAAAGATTGAAAACTAGCATTGTCAATGTCCCTGGAAGCCAGAGACCAAATGGAGGTTATGGGACTCTTTTTTTCCCTTTACCTCATTTCACTAGTTAGGACTTACAACCCAGATCCTACCCAAAGTGCTCAGTGACCGTTTTTCTGTTTTTAAAATAAACTTAATGTATGTTTAACATATACAACATGATGTTATGAGATATTAATACATATAAGGAGGCTGTGTATGTGATGGTTCACGCTTGTAACCCCACCACTTTCGGAGGCCAAGGTGGGTAGATCACCTGAGGTCAGGATGAGTCCAGCCTGGCCAACATGGTGAAACCCTATCTCTACTAAAAATACAAAAATTAGCCAGGTGTTGTGGCAGGCACCTGTAATCCCAGCTCTTTGGGAGGCTATAGCAGAATTGCTTGAACACTGGAGGCAGAAGTTACAGTGAACTGAGATCATGCCACTGTACTCCAGTCTGGGTGACAGAGTGAGACTCCATCTCCAAAAAAAAATATATATATATATATATATGTATATATATAAGTAAAATGGTCTTAAATGTCCTATGACACCGATTTCCTTGCCAGGAAGAGTAAAGTCCTCAGCCTGGTCTGGCTCAAGTACCTTTTCCTCTGAATGTGTGTTATTGGTGGCTGGGCCAAACCCTGTTTTCCATACAGAATAGTCAGTGTTCCTAAAAATAATAAATATTTAAAACCTCTTATTCACACCTTAATCTTTTGGTGGCAGGTCTCACCTGAGCTGACTAGAAATAAAAGCTACAGCCTTGCTGGAAAGCCCTCTCAGTGCCACTGTGCAAGATGTCATCCAGAGCTTCCTAAAGGTACTGAGGTGGACGGGGGGTGTGGGTGACAGAAATACCGGAGTAACTTTGCTTTTCCCTATGGACATTATTGAGACCCTAATTAGGAAGGGTTTCTGGTAGGGGGGCAATTTTGTGTTTGCCTGTTCCTTGGGAAAATCACTGGAGAAAGATGGATTCCCAGAGCCACTGAATCTAGGTTTTAGACCAAAAAATATTAGAATTGAGTATATCTCAGGTCCTTTTTCATTACTATACCACAAAATAAATGAGGTAGTATAATAAAGACAGTGATATTCTGGAGTAAGAGGTTGGTTCTTAAATAAAAGCATCTTTTTTTTTTTTTTTGAGGCATAGTTTCACTCTTGTTGCCCAGGCTAGAGTGCAATGGTGTCATCTTGGTTCACTGTAACCTCTGCCTCCCAGGTTCAAGCAATTCTGCCTCAGCCTCCTGAGTAGCTGGGATTACAGGCCTGCGCCACCATACCCGGCTTTTTTATTTTATTAAGTAGAGATGGGGTTTCACTATGTGGGCCAGGCCGATCTCAAACTCTTGGCCTCAAGTGATCCAACTACCTCGGCCTCCCAGAATTCTGGGTGGGATTACAAGCATGGGCTACCACACCCACCCTAAGCATTTCAGTCTTAAATACCTTATAAATGAATTTGACCTAGAAAGTTCTCTTACTTTTTCTTCTAGGTGGAATTAGGGGTTTGTGCTGGTGGCTCTAAGAATGAACATGAGACTGGCAAGGGAGTACCTGCTTAGTTGCAGTAGGCCTTGTTTAGGCTAAAAATAAGCCCAATACCAGCTGGACACAGTGGCTCATGCCTGTAATCCCAGCACTTTGGGAGGCCAAGGCAGATCACCTGAGGTCAGGAGTTTGAGAGTAGCCCGACCAACATGGTGAAACCCTGACTCTAGTAAAAATACAAAATTAGCTGGGTGTGGTGGTGCATGTCTGTAATCCCAGCTGCAGTGAGCTGAGATCATGTCATTGCACTCCAGCCTGGGCAACAAGAGTGAAACGCCGTCTCAAAAAATAAGCTGAATACCTGTATTTTACATACTGGAAAGAGCATTAACTGTAACCTGCCTGCAGTAGCCTCTATCGTCAAACAATTATGGAGGTGTCAAACAAGACTAAAAAGCTGATAACATCAAATTTGTTTTATTTCAAATTTGTAACAAAATATATTCTAGGCAACTTTTCAGACATCATTTTATAGAATCATCATAAACCCTGTACCACTGCTATCATTCCAAAAGCTGCTAGAACTCTGGAAGTCATCAAGTGGTCCAGCCCTTCAGCCCAGGAATACAGGTAGAATTCACATGATAGGTGGTAAGAAAGCAATGTCCGTGGGCCACTCTGATCCCTCCTTTTTACCCTGGTAGGTAAGGTATGATCTTAGGAATATATATATATTTGCGTGTGTTGAATATTAGTCAGTGAAAAAGTTAAAGTGACAAGTTCTATGCTTTGTTCTCGTAGCTCTTTGAAGTTATCCACCTCACCAGCAGTTGGAAGGTCTCAGGTCTAGCAGGCTCCACCCATGTGCAATCCTGGGGCAGGTGTGCATCTTGATTTTTTCCCCCTAGAGATCACTCAAGGGAGAGAACAGCAGCAACTCAGGCCACCAGTACTTCCCCAATTTTACATTAGGTTAAGAGGTTAGAATAAATTAACTGATGGGGAATGGCAGTAGGTGGCAGTCAGACCCAGGAGTCAGATTTGAATATTTGCCTGATCTCAGGAAGGTCTAAGAAAAAAAAAAGCTTTGACTTTTATAGTGGCATCAAGTCATGAAGGCCAGTGAAATGTGCTTAGTCTCCTAAAATGACTTCTAATTCCTCCAGGTCCTTCTGCAGAGCCAAATCCTAGGGAAACAAAGAACAAATTTAGGACTCAAAATTTAAGCCAGCATTTTCCCAGACCCGTGGAACCTGAGAACAGGGGCCCTCTGCTTCCTTCCTGAGCTCTGTTATATTCTTTTTCCTACTTTCTCAGGATAGCCTGGAGCCCATGAAATCTGTCTCGTCCCCTAGAGGTAGACTGTGTTTCGTTCCCTAGGAAAGATTTTTTCCTAAAAAATGTCACATGATGATTCAGTTAAGACAGGCAGTTTTTCTTTTTTTTTGAGACGGAGTTTTGCTTGCCCTGGCTGGAGTGCAATCTCAGCTCACTGCAACCTCTGCCTCCTGACTAGCTGGGATTATAGACATGCAACACTATACCCATCTACTTTTGTATTTTTAATAGAGACGCGGTTTCTCCATGTTCATCAGGCTGGTCTCAAACTCCCAACCTAAGGTGATCCACACAGACAGGGAGTATTTAAAAAGCATTACTGCTGGGCGTGGTGGCTCAAGCCTGTAATCCCAGCACTTTGGGAGGCCGAGGCAGGTGGATCACGAGGTCAAGAGATCGAGACCATCCTGGTCAACATGGTGAAACCCCGTCTCGACTAAAAATACAAAACATTAGCTGGACATGGTGGTGCGTGCCTGTAATCCCAGCTACTCAGGAGGTTGAGGCAGGAGAATTGCCTGAACCCAGGAGGCGGAGGTTGCGGTGAGCCGAAATCATCCCACAACAAACAAGAAGGGAAAACAGGGCAAAACTCTATCCCCAAAAAAAAAAAAAAAAAGGCATTACCTCCTTAGTGACATCTGGCAGCTCCAGGGCCAACTTCATCCACCATCTAGCTTCAGAGTTTTTCCCTAGTTCTCTGTAGCACTGAAAACAGACAACAGTGAAACCTGAGAGAAATAGTATCAGGAGACTAGAAGAGGGTGAGTATATGTGCTTTCAGGAGTTCCCAGAACTATGTTGAAGTAGACAAGTGAGTTTACCTTGGAAATATATACCCTTCCTGCTTTGGAAAATCCTGGCTGTAGTTCTTCAGCCTGGGAAAAGGGACAAAGGTATTTCAGTAAGAGGTTCCTATATTCTAATCAGGCTGAAGTTTATGAGAGATTTCTAGTCGCCAACCATGTGGCTAATTCAGTGGGTCTGAAGAAGAAATCTGTATTTTTGATAAGGTGCGCAAGTGATTCTGATTTTCCCATAGAACAAGCAAACACAAAATTGCCCCCTACCAGGAAAACCTTGTAAAAAACAAGGTTACCCTGGTGTTTTTCCCTGCCACCCACCCCTCTCTGATACCTTTAGGAAGCTCTGGAGGGCATCTTCCACAGTGGCACTGAGAGGGCTTTCAAGCAAGGCTGTAGCAGTTTTTTTTTCTAGCCAGCTCAGGTGAGAGACCTGCCACCAAAAGATCAAGGTGTGAATAACAAGTTTTAAAGGTTTTTTTAATCTTTGAAAATGTACTGAAAACAGGGTCAAAAGGGCCTGGGTCCAACCACCAATAACATTCAGAGGAAAGGGCACCTGAGCCAGAGCAGACCAAAGATCTTGTTCTTTCTGGCAAGGAAATCAGTGCCAGAAGGCATTTAGGACCATTATGTCAAGCCCTGAAATGCAGCTTACCTGATAGCACCACCTGCCAAGAAGAAAATGAGCCATGGGATTTTCTGGCTGGAGAGCAATGGCTTTGTCCACATGCTCCTAAGGGGAAAATGTAAACTAACATCAAACACGAGAGTTGCTAAGAGCAGCAAGGGCCAGACGCGGTGGCTCATGCCTGTAATCCCTGTACTTTGGGAGGCCGATACAGGCAGATGACCTGAGGTCAGGAGTTTGAAACCAGTCTTCACAGTCCTAGCCAACCTGGTGAAACCCTGTCTCTACTAAAAATGCAAAAATTAGCTGGGCATGGTGGTACATGCCTAATCCCAGCTACTTGGGAGGGTGAGGCAAGAGAATTGCTTGAACCCAGGAGGAGGTTGCAGTGAGCCAAGATCACACCACTGCAGTCCAGCCTGGACAAGAGAGTGAGACTGCCTCAAAAAA